AGTTTCCTTAGTCCAGAGGTTTATATACAGAGTCGTGTATCTGTGCTTTCCTGGATAGTGTAATCTCAAGCCCCAAAGTGCATCATACTGTTGGGATCCAGTAGTAAAAACGATTCATACCGAATCGCTCTGTTTGGACCACTGGTTGGGTCGCTCATGGTTTCGGTAATCTCAGGCGATGCAGTGGCCCATTCCTGCAGCAACGCCCTCCAGTAGCATGCATCGGCAGCTGGAGTTAAATATCGTTCACGAAATACTTTCACGTTATTGTCTGCAATCATGCGAGCCTTGAGAGGGTCATCGAGAAGCTCTTGTACCTTGTGTGGCAAATCGGCCCAGTCCCTCTCCACCTGAACAAAGTTCTGCTGTGGGCCAGACGAGACGAGAAGATAGTGGTGATGTTGGATATATTGCAGTTTATGGATCACTACTACCGATCGGCAGGCCTGGCGATATTTAAGAGATGCAGAGTAGGAACGACCTAGAAGATATTAGCTGGGCTTTCTCATCGATATGGATAATCCTTAAAGAATAAAAGACTCCATACCTTCCACGTGAGCAATGAACCTATAATCGCAATGTTTTTCCATGCTAAGGTAGTTGGCCTTATTCTTCCATTCAACTTCCTTTACATCACCCCAGGCATACTTCCGTGCAATCTCAAGTAGTGTACGGCGTAGCTTCGGGGCGAAACTCAGCTTTCCGCGCCAGACCAGCTTATCCTCTTTCTCATCCCAGGGGAGCTCATTCTTTTCCATGTGCTTGACTACCTCGTCATACGGCCCAATTCGACTATCAATGTGGCCCCAAGACCAGAAGCCAAAATCCGGCATCAGCCAAACAGACTCCTCGGTAGCCTTCCGGGCTAATACCCAGAGAGGATGATCTGGTCCAGCGACGTCCTCCAATTTATCTTCTACGGAGAAGATAATCTCTGTGTCTGGGATAGTATATGGCGCCGAGACTAAGGCGCGATGAATTGAGCCCAAGATCCCCAGGATCTTACGCCGGTGATCCTCCCCCTTAGCTAGGGCTCTATGAACATAAAGCCGTCCTTGATAGACAGCTACCCTAGCCATGCCATCTACCATCTTGATATTGTCAATATCAGCCCTGCTAATTCCATGTCTGGCTGTCCAGAAGAACTGGGCACGGAGAGGATCTTCAAAAAGACCGGGGAACAAATTGGTGCATTGAGTGTCATTGTAAGAATACTCGGACGGATCAAAGGCAGACCGCGCGGGAGGCGCAAAGGACGAGGAAGTAGTGTCATGAAATGGCTGGACGGGACACTCAATACAGTTGTCACATTTAAAGATAGTAGAAGTCTGACAAGCACAGTGGCCAGCGGGGATTAGATGATTGAGTAGTGGATGGATATTGTCTCTATCAGAGTTGACTCCTAGCCAGAGTGTCCAGATAGAAATTCCAAGAACTGCTGCCAATGCCAATATAACTATCTGGATGGCGGTAAATCTCATAAGTCGCCCCATCTCAGCGTTTCTCGTCGTGTAGTAGTGGAAAGGAAATTTAAGGTAATATAGGGGTCGACTCCATCAGGTAAGAAACAGTCGGTGACAACGGGTGGGAAAGAGAAATCTTCTGCCGATGGCGACGAAGGATTACTGACATACGATCGTTAACCAATTCTAAGTCGCACAATATAATATCACTACGCGAAGCGCTAATCGAACAAAGACCACCTCCCTAAGGAACAAGTGGCTAAACATCCCTGTCACGGTTTCAACCCATCGCGACATCCACAGTATGAGATATTCCACGGAACGGTGAGTACCTCTCAGGATGGACTTTCATATTCGTGCAGTGTGGACCCCTGGACCCCGAATAGACCAGCTAGAATATCATTTCCCGGAGAGGATCCACCTGGGCTAACGAATCTTGGCATTAGCTTCTCTTTCTCAGTGGGACGATGTCGTACTAGAACATGCAAAGTGACTGCGCCGTATGGGTCCGTTCCTGTCTAAGAGGTGTGCTCGGCTAACTCCTGGTCAGCGTTCCTATGACACATGATAGATGGATGCAACACCGTACTTACAAATATATTAATCCGCTTTAGTTTTAGTATAATCTATCTTCGTCTTGCTTTCCCACTTCCGAGGTTCAAAAAGCAATAGCCAAATAGCCGAGCCACTTACCACTCACCTCACTCCTTCCGCACCCTCTATATGCTATGTTCCTGATTCGAAGGACATCCAAGGGATCTCAGCCCTGGTCCCACGTCTAGTAATTTCCTAATGTACGGAGCGACCCGGTGCGGCCCTACTCTTAGTAAACTGTGGGGAGTGCTTAATATTGCCCTCGGGCAGCTTTGTAAAACGACGGTAGAACCGAGGAATACTCTAAAGCCAAGAATATATCCTATTTCGCTTACGAGAAATGCATTCCAAATTGGTAGGTCGTTGATTCTAGAGCTGATGTATAGGTAAAACATAGTAATTATGGCATATGTGTGTGTGATCGAATGCTTGGATGTAGAACTAGCACTAATGCTGAGAAGGAGGCTCAATTCGCACAGTCCACCCTATTTACCGTGCGTTGTGGCATCCTAGCTGCACTTTGAGTCAGTGCAAAGCCGGCTCCTTTAGTACTCTCCGTAACATTACCTATAGTGTTCTCTCAATATACACCATATACCACAGCGCCGTGCCTTGCAGAATCTGTGGGCAGTCATGGAGTATCTCTCATTCTCGTAATTCAAAAGACGCCCAGTAAATGATATACGTTGGAATTGACCTTAGCTTCAGGTAACTCCAAGCAGATGGCAGCCCTCATTACTTAATAAAGGGACGGAACCATTGAGTCTCGATAGCAACTGGCTATTACCACATCCAGAGAGTATAGCCTCTGTAATCCTGATCCGTGATACTTGGCTCTCATGGTTGAGCCAGGAAGCTATGTTTCTGAGGTGTACTTTGGCCAACATCTGTAATTGTATTGGTAGTAGGGCTAATTCGTAAAGCTGATATACCAACTAGGTCTTGCCACAACCCTCATGGGTGTTCATGAGTTAGATCCGCCCTCCCCAACGTTTACATGAAGTATTGCATTCTTTAGAGTGGAAGACTAATGTCAGTGCCACTACTGGGATACACCTGTCTATCAAGCTCCCACTTGTTGCAATACTTGTGCTCTTTCCAATCTATTGACTGCAGCAGGTGCTAAGCTGTGATATATCTGCATGCGATGGGAATCACACCTACATTCGCTAATAGGCCAGCATTATATGCTTTGGCCAAGCTTCGATGTAATAATGAAAGATTTGATTGACAGAATCACTGATTACTAAGTCAATAAGCGATTAACGAGCAACAGTCCAACCCTACTGGGCAAGCACAAGTAGGTTAGTTGCAGTCTGCGAAAGAAGTTAGGACTGCCCTCGTTTAAAATCACACAAGACCTGTAGTGCTTGCATTGTCCTCCGGCTTCTTTTGTTGTGATGTTGCACATTTATATTGGTTTTAAACTCCTTTCTGTCTTGTATTCGGCTTTTGCTAGATGTCGGTATTGAGTGTGGATTCTGAAGACTATATCATCGCTGGCCCTAGAGTGACAACACTTAACACTACAGAATCAGTAGGCACTCGATAAGCATGGTGCCATCCGCGCACCCGGGCGCAGAAGCAATCGAACAGCTATTACTTGATATTGACAAACCGTAATCCTTCACTTAGCTGGGCGGCTTGAGCCGGTCAAAAACTATCGACTTATTATACTAAGTCATAGTCGATGTAACCATAATCAAATAGTAGTTCACCATCTTGGCGCCATCCGTAGTACTAAGTGGGACGATCGACATTGCCCTATGATTATAGCTCCGCATAATACAGCAATTAGGGCTGGTCCCGAGCCTTCCCAAATGCTTCACTCCGAAGTTTCACCGATGACCTCTGCTAGCTAGTAATATACATACTTCAATCACACCGGGATCAAGTTGAGGATGATTCCTGTATTATCATACATTATGATTCTCTCCGCAATTTATTTTATTGGTCTATGGCTGTGGTGCTTGTTCAGGCTTCTGCGTTCTGATTGGCCTCTCATTCAAATAGCAAGTGACCGCATTCCTATATATGGATCCCTGGACCCTATGAATCAAATTACCCAGGATATTGTATCATCGGGTGCTCTATATAAACATTTACATAGGCGAGAAATATCAGGGCTTTTCCCTAGATTAACATGGTTTAACACATGCTTTCTCAATATGAGGACACCTGAAGTGTCTGACTAATGAGCTATTACATCGTTAAATAATGCGGGGAAGGTTGACAGCCTCACCACTAAGCAACAAACCCCTCCTCTTGCGACTACCAGCCTTCAATCAACCAAGCTCGATTGTTTCCCAGGCTCGTTACTAAAATGCCCACTGCAAAAGCAACTATAAACGGCACCCTGCTCGCCGAAACCACTACCTGGGAGGAAGTCGAAGGAAATATTTACGTGCGATTTTGACTCCGTAGCCCCGCAGTTGATATCAATCTGATCATTGATGCTATAGTTCCCCCCATCGACAATTCAGGAGTCGTTTTTCGTCAAGTCGGATCATACGACATACTGTGGGTGGAAGGGCGACGCGAAGTACTTTTCTGTTGTTATTGGAGGTACTTGGCTTGGTATTTTAGTACTATCACCAGAAGCATGCTGAGGTTGGTAGATGTGACGATTCCAAATGCGGCGTGGTATTATCCAGCACCCTTTGATAAGGCGAAGCATATCAAGGATTTTGTCGCTTTTTGTAAGTGTGGAGATTGATTATTTTGGTTCTATGGCTCTCTCGTGTCCATAGCATTCGCGGGTCCAGGTCAATTGATGCTAATCCGTGGTAGATCCTAATAAGATTGACGTTAAGGTTGAATGAGTTGTCTTTGATTACGGACAAAAGGAGTGGATTATTTGGCGTGTTAACGAGGACATAGTTGAGTACAATAGCTACAGATGTTAATTCGACATATAACGAACCATATCCTTCTACTCCATCATTCAGTCCAGAGTCTAAATCGATAGACATAAGTATCGAACGCCATCCATATCATTGTTACTGTGAGAGACATAGAGAATTCTGTAGTGCTATTACTTTCCTTCGTGGATATCATGAAGTGGATGAAATCGAGTTCACCAAGTGCATAGAATGCCGTACTCTCTCCGAGGGTGCGTCACCACACGCGTTGCTGACAGGCCAGTCTCCGAAGGGGCTATATTATAAGAGGCTTTCTCTCCTAAATATATAATCTCTGGTTAACGTGGGTGCAGGAAAGCTATCCCTTGACTTTGTATTGCCCATCAGCCAGGCATAGTGGCATTAGTCAACTCGGTCAACAACCCCGTCCAATCAGTATCGCCCAGGTCGAGGTTGGCACTGTTGTCCAGCATTTCAGACCATATATCTTCTAATTGCCTCTGGCCCGTATCATCCACATTGCTAGGGAAGTCACTCGGTGGGTCCAATTCGATCGTGGTTGCTGGTGTATAACTGGTTCGGGATGTGGAAGGCAAGGGTTGCTTTGGCGCGTCGAAACCTGCCGGGTTTACATTTGAGGATGAATTGCGGTTTGGAGAAGCAGCCAGCTTGCCATGTTTCCAGTGCTTTTGCAGCACACTCATCATGGCATTGATACCCTCTTTCACTAGTGAAGATGATAGCTGAGCGTTACTGAGCATGTGGCAGGCATCAAGCACTTCCTCCTTTCGCTTCTCAGCTAATATATCGTCCCAGTTGAAACACACATCCAGCAGCAAGATCACAGCAGCCATGAATACGTGATGCATAACGGACCAGACCACCGAGCTTGGCGGTGTGAACTTTGGTTCGTCTTCGTCCATGATTCTTTTGATCTCGAGGACCTTTCGCGCGGATTGGAGACATACAATATGGGAATAGGAATAAAGCGACTCACGCGCTCCGCGGATGAAAAACTGCCGATGCAGACGACACAAGCGTGAAAAATACGCTTGTTGTAGGAGACATCTTTGCCATGCAAGGGTGGGGCGATTCTGGTACAGAGACGCGAATCGACGCCTAGAGGTCGGATCAAGGCGGAAGAACTCTGGGATCTCCGCAAGAGCTTGGTGAAACTTTTTGTCGAGTTCAAGAATCTTCTGGTAGCTGACTTCTATTCCATAGAGGTGTTCGTGGGATGTAGCGTCGATAACCTCACGGCATACGATACCAAGCTTGAGTCGCTCGAGAGAAAAGGACATGTCCGTTGGCGCCGAGATTGGTCGCGACAATCCTCCATGCCCTTCAAATTCATTATCGTCAAGATTGAGAGGCCGGTCTACCTTCATGTGTTCTGGGTTGATCAGGTAGGTCCACTCTTGAGGACCGCTCAAGAACCCAAGGAACCTGGAAATATCGTAATTAGAGACAGCCAGATAGAATGCTAAAGGAATCACTGCCTACCAGTCGTATGATGCGATGTCCCACCAAAGCCGCCGTTTGGTCTCTAGTTCCACCACGTCCGATGGATTAGCCTCCCTTTCTTCCCGAAATCGTGGTGAATCGATCCAATGCAGCTTAAGATTCTTTGCTTGACTAATAACCGCACTGAGCACGAAGAGACCACTGACTGATGGATGGCAGCTCATATTGGATGCGTGGTGCATGATCACAATTGCTGCTTGCAAGCCCTCGACGGTGGGGTTAACTGGGTAGTTGCTTTGAATCAAGGCGGCGCCGGTCAAAAACGAGAACTCGCGACTGCAAAGCTCCGCATGAATGGAAGACTCCACGGATAACTGTAAAAACAACGAGCTGGCGGCAAGGCTGAAAAAGAGGGCTAAATGGTTCAAATTAGGCGGTTGGCCTCGCTCAATCGCTTGGTAGATACCATCTATCTGGTCCTCCACGCGCTTCGGAAATATGATATGGTAAAGGTAGTCAATATAGTTAGTATAATATCGGAACAGTGCCATGGCCTCGTGTTTATGGGGAAGAAACGATAGTAAATTGAGTGTCGCAGGATTCTCCCGTGAGGCATTCCAACTTCGGCAGGAAACCGGGAGCAATGTTCCTGGAGGAACAAGATCATCCTTGTTCCTCAGCTCATCAAGTTCATCTCTCAACAGCTTTGGTGTCGCTGTTGGCACTCGGTTACCCATGTGAATGTTCTCTAGCCAGTCCGCGGTCCACAGTGATTCCCGACTGCGGTATGATGGCTGAGAGTTCGTAACAGGGGGTGCATCCACACTTCGTATTTCCTGGATCTCCGGCGTGTCTCCCTGGGCTGGAATGGCTTCTTCCCTTCGGCTTCCATCATCCGATGCTACATTATGTGTGTCCGCCGCGGCCGGTACAATGGCATAGCTGCATGGCAATCTTCGAGTGATGCAACTACTGCATGGCTGTTGTCGATTACACTTCAGTTTTTTGCGCCTGCATGATTCACAAGACACGGGATCCTGCCTTGAGACACGTTTCCGAGGCTTCTGGTGCAGCTCTGGTCCGACTCTACGCTTCATTTCGGGTGTTGTTGACAGATGTCGTGAGTCGTTGGATCTCGGCCACTTGCCAGGCGGGCGGATCACGTGCATCATCGCGATGTTATCAACACGACAACAATCGAAGGAAACAATGATATTGCGCAGAGATAGTCAAAGATGAACAGTTTTCTAGGGCGGAACAAGCGAGGGCTCTCTTACAGTATTTGCCCAGATCTTCAGAATGCTTTTATCGGCCAACATCAACCGTTTTACCCCGTCCGAGCCCTCTCGGAGCTTCCGTGGATACTCCGCCCGGATAAAATGAAGGAAGCCAGGAGGCTTGTTTAGGTCAACAAATCTAAAGGCCGGGGAGTTTTGATACTATGTCTTTGTGGGTGCTCCGAGCTACTTGCTACGGGACTTATGGCTACCTTAGATAGTATACATACCGTTCCTAGCCAGTCGAAACGACATCGTTCTGTGGAGCAATCGCGACAGAACACCCCTGACATTTTCTCAGCCGGAAGAACAGCGTGCCCTAAGAAGAAAGCTCTGTCTAGCGTATCAGTCTGGTACAATGGCGAAGGACAGTTCAACACCACCGGACCAGAAGCCTCCCAGCGAGTATACGTATGTCGTGTCGCAGAAGAATTTGTGCAACAGCTGACTGAACTTCACAGACCGCAGGCATGTTTAACAATTTTGGGTTCATTCACCGGTCTATTCTGCACCGTGGGATTCATGAACTCGTTCGGGGTCTTTCAAGAATACTATGGGAAAAATCAACTCGCCGACAAGTCCGAATCAACGATTGCATGGCTAGGCGCGATCAGCATCTTTTGCATTTTCTTCATCTCAGTATTCTCTGGCCAGTTGCTTGATATGTTTAAACCTACTGTTAGTCAATTTCCCTGACAGCTACAATGGAAAACCTAATATTAGGCCCAGTTGATGCTCTGTGTGGGCTCGCTAGGCACCGTGTTCTCACTCATGATGGTGTCGCTCTGCAAGGAGTTTTACCAGTTCATACTCGCACAAGGGATCCTTCTCGGAATTTCGCTCGCTTTGCTAGCATGTCCAATGCTCGCCCTCGTTGGGCAACATATCAAGGTGAAGCGTGGTGCAGCGCTGGGTATAGTGCTCGGCGGCTCGTCTCTCGGAGGCGTGATATGGCCTATTGCCATCAACGAACTTCTTCAGAAACCAAACATAGGATTTGGATGGACGATGCGGATTGTTGCATTTATAATGATTCCCTTATTATCTGTCTCCTGCATCTGCTGTCGGCCACCCAAAATAAGCCCTACTCCTACCCAACGACCCGCGTCTAATGATGAAGAGGCCACGATAACCAAGGCCAAACCGCCTGTCCCTAAAGCGGACTTTTCCATTCTCAAAAAGCCCAGTCTCCAGTTATCCTGCCTCGCATTTTTCATCATCTATTTCGGAATGTTTTCTCCGTTTTTCTTCACAACCTCCTACGCAGTTGCGAAAGGGTTTTCCACCGACCTGGCGTTTTATACCATCTCGATCGTGAATGGTGCTTCGTTTTTGGTCGTGTTCTTCCTGGTATTGTCGCAGACCGGTATGGAAAGTTCAACTGTTGTATCGTGTTTACCTTCTTCTCTGGCATCGTCGCTCTCTGCTGGACGAAAGCGACCTCCGTGGCTGGCCTGGTCATGTTTTCTCTCGCATATGGGTTTGCGTCAGGAGTAAGCTCTTCCAATCAGATAAACTTATATCAACAAGGCTAACGAATGTTCATGCAGGCTATCCTTTCCCTCCAGCAAGCCTGCGCAGCGCAAGTCGCCACACCACAAACAATCGGTTTAACTATGGGAACCGTCATGGCAGCCACATCTTTCTCGTGAGGCCCAGACATGCTTCAGATTATTGTACTACCACTGACATATAAACAGAGCCTTGGCCGGAGTCCCTATTAGCGGTGAACTGGCGGGTAAATATGGATATCTGGCACTGTCTATCTACTCAGGTGTGAGTCTCTTGGTAGGGAGCGTTCTATTGGCGGCGGCGCGATTCGTACAGAGTAGGGATTTGCTGGCTATTGTGTAGAGAGCGTACTGTGGGAGGCTTGAGGTTCTAGTGTTCTTTAAACGCGCGTATGCGTTATTGATAGGCTTTGGTCTTATTATAGCTAATCGGTATCATAGATCGTATAATATACAATGCACTCCGCTCTCTCGGTGTATTCATGAACATATGCTAGGAAAACGCCGTCAGAAAAACTAATATCAAAAAGTTCATTATGGATTATCAAACAGTTCATAAAAAGTTATGCTAATCAACTTTCTCGGCACCAGATACAACTTCAGGTAACGGTCAATGTCGTCTCCGACTGCATATCAGCCTCGTGAAAATACACAGGAGTAACAAGGGAAAAAGTCCGAAGCTATCATATCTCTCAGAAACTATGTAAAACGTCTGACACAATGAAAGAAAGCAACATACTGTATCCTCAGTAATTACCCAGCAAGGAGTCATCCCATCTCTCCTCGGAAAGTATAGATAAAGCCTTTTCAGACGGGTGCTAGCGCCCTGGATATTCAGGAGTCTTAGCACGACTATCTCTTGTGGCTGGTTCAGCCGCAGAGTTGCGTATTATATCCGTTGCAGTAGATGCTCACAGATGAATGCGGCGATATCTGTCTGCCGCATTGTAAAGTGAGTACCTTGGGTCCTGAGTAGCTCGACGGGCAGTCTGTAGAGAATGTCTAGGGCTTCCGCTGTGATCTGCTTGTTGAGTGGGAGGACCATTGTCATCTCATCATTCACCTTGAATATCCGAATAGACGCATGCAAGCTACTCCTACTCCCTCGGACCCAGCTCAAAACTAAACTCTTTCAAAAGCGGCGAAACCTTCCACCTTGCGAAGAGCTGCCCATTCTCCACCAAGATGCGTCGTAGCACCTCCCCTCTCTCCTCCATACCAGGCCATGCACCCTCCCACATCCTGACATATGGCTCCACGACCCCCAAGGCCTCCCTCAGCCACCTCCCCGCCCTCCCCTCCGCAATCCTCCCCTTCTTGACCATCCCCCTCTCCAGCTCATCCAGAAAAGCCTCCCTATCCTGCTCCCCCTCAACCGCAGCCCGCATGACCCCCAACAACACATGCGACCGCACCG